CCCCATCCCCCTCTCTCTCTCTTCCCCACTCCTACTTTCCCACCCCTCCTCTCTCTCCTCCCCCTCCCCCCCATACACTCTCCCCTCTCCCTTCCCCACTCCTCCTTCTCCACCCCCCTCCTTCTCCCCTTCCCCTCCCCCCCATACACTCTCCCCTCTCCCTTTTCACAGACGCTTTACCTTTGTGACTGCAACGATTCTCAATGTTTTATATTTTAAACATTACGATGCCTTTTGATCGGTGGCTTTGCTTTCTGCATTGCATATATGTGAGTCTCATTAGATATATAAATGATTAAAAATACATTCTGATCCATCAAACGGGATTTCCTAATGATGATAGAATAATGAATGTAATATACCAGCATACCTCGGTATTCCTAAATCTTAGATTTCATGTAATACTGCATTCATTTATAGCTGCTATATACAAATCCATTCATATTTATTATAATATATATATAAATTCATTCAAATTTATTATGATATATATATATATATATATATATATATATATATATATATATATATATATATATATATATATATTCATTCATAATTATTGTGATATATATATACATACATACATTCATATTTATCATATATATATATATATATATATATATATATATATATATATATATATATATATATATATATATTATTTTATATTTATTAAAGACATATTCATATGATCATAAGTAATAATTCTTTATTTTCCCTTCGTTTTTCTGCCTACCCCCTCCCCCCTCCGTCGCACACACACACACACTCCTTTGAAAAGAAAAGAAAAGAAAAAAAAAGCCTCTAGCATTGTAATATGTTTTTGTTTATCGTCAGATCTGCCTCGACAAATGAAAAAATGTGTTTTTTACATCAGAAAAATATATGCTCCCCCCCCCTTTCACAATCCCAAAAATCACAAGAAACATGGAAAAGAAGATTAGGGGGAGAAAATATGGTATTTTTTGTGATTTTTTTCTACTATCTGTCACTTAATTATTAGGGCAATGAAGCTATAGTGGAAATTTCTTATAAAAAAAGAAAGAAAAAAAACAGGCAAAAAGATAACAGAGAATCATGATGTAATGGTAATGATAATAATAACTATGATTAATGTCATATTATTTTTCAGTATTATTAACATTATCAATACTTTTATTATTGTTATCTTTATTGATATCATTATTATTTTAAGTGTTAGTATTCGTATTATCATCACAATCAGTACCAATATTATCATTCTGGTCGTTATAATGGTAATAATAATGAATATCATTATTATCAGTTATTATTATTATCATTATTATTAGTAGTAGTAGTGTTACTATTAATACTATTGTTATCATTATTAATATTATCATAATTGTTCTTATTATGACAATTACTATCATTATCATTATTATGATAATTATTGTTATTATTATCATCATAATAATAATTATCATCATTAATTTTATAATTACTATTATCATTATTACTATTATTATCTTTATAGTCATTAATTACTATCATTATTATTATTATTATTATTATTATTATTATTATTATTACTATTATTACTATTATTGTTATTACTATTATTATCATTATTATCATTATTATTATTATTATTACTGCCATCATTAATATAATTATTATCATTATTATTATCACTATTATCATTGTTATTTTATCATTATTATTTTTATTCGCACAGTTATCACTATTATCATTATTTTCAATATTACTTTTATTCGCACAGTTATCAATATTATCATTATTATCATTATTATTATTATTATTATTATTAACATTACTACTACTACTACTATCTTTATTGTTATTACCATTATTATTATTATTACTAATAACAATTGTTTGTCTTAAGTTGTCTAGATTTCTCTACAAGACTTGATGGTGATGAAAATATTGACGAAAACTAAAGCATGTTCATTGGAGATCAGCTCTGACAGAAATAATAGTGAATTCTTAATGTTGCTCTGCCAGGCTCCGTCAGAGAGAGTATCGCTGTCAAACATGCGAATACAGATAAAATAGATTATTGTACTCTACAAATTGTACAAATAATCGCATTCTTTTACATAGGCGATATGCTACAGCAATATAAAATATACATAATAAAAAATTTACATTTTACATGGTGCAACAGGCAGTTACACCCCACAAGTGTTATAATTCTTATTATTTTTATTAGTTCTATTATTATTAACATTACTTTCATTATTTTCATTATTATTATTACTGTTATCATTATTTTTATTATTATAATTATCTTTTCATTATTATCATTTTTATCACTATTATCATTATTACTATCATTCATTATCATTGTTATTATTCTTATCATTATTATTATTATTATTATTATTATTATTATTATTATCATTATTATTATTATCATTATCATTATTATCATTATCACTACTATCAGTATCATTATTATTATTATTATTATTACTATAATATATTTTTGTATTTATATATAAGTATGAATGAATATATATGTATCTATATCTATCTATCTATCTATCTATCTATCTCTCTCTATATATATATAAGCATATATATACTCCGTAATAGGTTTACCCTTCATATCGTAAGCATGATGAGGTATATTTACACGGCCGTAAAGAATCTCACCTTTATTTACCAAACGTTTCTCAATGTAAAATTAATAATTAAAGTAAATACAAACTTGAACACAGTACAAGAAATATAAACAAATTGCAAATCATAAATAAGAATGTTTGTGATGTAAAAAAGTATGTTAAACTAACTAAAGAGGTTGTGTATTGTTTATTACCTGCACCCTAGTACATTTTGTATTTACTAGGGTGCAGGTAAAATCTATGAAATGGTTAATGGTTAATGGTTAAAAGCAAGATAAATGTGCTAGACATCTAAGGTCATGTAGCACTATAGTTAATGTTAGTGAAGGGTGGTTGAGTTAGTGGTTAATTGTCTAAGCTGGGCAAAGGAATTGGTAAGTGAAAGGGTTAAGGTTAGATGTTAGATTAGGTAAAGGATATGTATGTGTTTGAGGAAAGAGAATAGGTTATTGATGCAGAAAGTGTGGGATTC